ATATTCTTAAAACCAAACATCTGGAAAAATGTCAAAATCAGAAGCAATATTTTCACATGAATATGAAAGTCCCACCTCATCTCAAGGTTTGGATCCGAAATAGTTTAATAACCCAATGCGCTGGACATCTGAAGCTTGTATATTCATTATGTCATCAATATTTTGCTGGTGGCTGGGTCCTCCCCTCAAATCAGGGCCATAGACTTGGGTATGAAATCTTATATTTATTTTTGTGTATACACGTTCACATGTGTAACGTGTATGTATGTGCATGCGGTTGGAGGACAGGCAGGTTCTTTCCCTAAACCTGGAGCTTTTTGGTTCTTCTATGATTGCAGGTGGATGTACTGCTGAGCATGTAGGTGCTGGGATCCTAACTCCAGTCTTCATCCTTGCACAGCAAACAGCACTCAGTGAGCCACCTCCCTAGGCCCTCCCCCTCCCAGGCATGAAATTCTGAAAGGAAATACTGGCTATTCATTTTTTTCACTCAATACTTAATTTTAAAATAGATGAGTTGAAAGATGTCTTGGTTCAGAAAAATTATAAAACCACTGAGTCGGAGAAAATTTATGTAAATTTAGAAAAATTATCACAAGTTCTCTTGGTCCTGCTTTAACTGTTAAACTTTACATAGATCGTGTCATGAGCTGGTCTATTGGATTTTGTAGAGCAATGCATTCTATATTTCAAGAATGTGTATGTTCAACAGCGACAGACAACTAGGGAATCTGAGTGAGAGAGTCTTTCCCTGGGAAGACTACACTAATTAGGAACCCACTACCAAATGGTCTGCCCTGAAAATACAAGGAACATCATACAGACCGAGCATGTTATATTTGGGAATATATGTTTATGTATATGTGCATTGCAGTAATTAATGACAAAACGTGACTGAATCTGAAAGAGCGAGGGTATATGGAAGGGGTTTGGAGGGAGGACAGTGGAGGGAGAAATGACAAAAGTAAATTACATTATAATCTCAAAAATTTTTGAACTGCTGAACTTTAGGTAGAGGTCATCACAATGGACACTTACTCTCAGCAGACTGCCTGGTTTTGCGTGCCCACAGTAACTACTGCCCACAACCAAAATGGGATTTCCCTCAATGGCTGAAGCTATAGCAGCAGTAACATAGAAGTTACTAAACCCACAAGTTTAGAAGGGCGCTTGAAGACGA